TACAAGAAAATGGAAATTCCGACTAAATCTTTCACACAACCTAGTGCAACAGGAATTCAATTAATTGGCAAATTGAAACATTCCAAAATTTGATCAATGATAACTGCAATCAGGGTGATTGTCGGTCGAGGAAATCCTCGATCAGTTATCATTATCGGAGGAGGGGGGTCGTATTTGTCAGGGTGGGTCATGGGGGGTCGTACTCGTGGGGGTCAGTAACATCAGTGGCATCGTGGTGCAGATAGGAGTAAGAGGGTGTAGCGCAGCAGCGAAGATATGTGAGGAAACATGATTAAATATTCTTGCAGTTCATTCGCTCCATTGTTCTACCTTCATGAGAAGGAAGTATTTGAAAGCAGTACAAAGAATGAAAGTGCATCTCCGCAAGGAACCACATGTGCACACGCGCTGCAAAGGCACCTCCATCTACCGCCCGCTCCCTCTCCCTTAATACCTCGTTGAGAATACACTGTTGTTAGGGACGCTGTAGCAAAAACGGCAATAGTTTCAAAGGGCAGCTGTCCTCAGGTTAGGATTTACGAATTGTGTTCCAGTTTCTGTCATCATATGTACATATAACACCTTTCCAATAGATTCTACAACTTGAGTGGAGGTCGGATGCATGGCCTATACTGAGACGAGATCGGACGATGACGATTGCCCCTTTTCTTGTCGCTTATGTTGGGAGAATGTTATTCTAGACACATTTCGAGCGTTGCCAACGAAACACTTGCAATGGTGAAGAAGGGAGCGGATTTTTAGGTGGCCGAAATCCGTCCTCGATAGATCCTCGACGCAAATATCTCCTCAACTAAAATGTAGAAGAAAGCTAAACAGACCATCAGAAAGCGCAAACCTTCCGCTTTCCAAAACTGTCTTTTCAAGATCTTACGAAATTAGAGAGATATTGCCTTTTAAGTGGCAAAAACTCGCATGAAAATTTCAGCGTCCTCGACGCTACTCGACAAAATTTGAGAGACCCTATCTCTTCGAGTGGAAAGCTTTTAGATCAATTTCAATATTGCCCGGTAGTAGTTGCTCTATTTACCCAACCTCTTACTGCTCCAAAGGTTATGAAGTGGGGGAAAGGAACCCTTTCATCGAGAGTGTAGATTTCGATGGTTTCCGAAAGCGGTTTCGGCAAATCTGACCCACGGATAAACTATGCTGCAGCTGCATGCTTTGCTGTACATTGATGGAACTCGCTTACTTACATCAAATCAAAGTTAGAGGGGTCGTATCGAAACCCTGATCTTAGGTGGGGTTCGTACTGATGTGTCCCCGTCCTCGACACGATTTTCACCCACTCTCACTGCGATGCCGTACAAGGTTGTGCGGCGACAGAGAAAAATTTAAAGCATCCTTTGAGAACCACGCAGGCCAAAAAGATAACGTCTGGCACCTACACAGATTACACGAAATGAACACAGCGACAGCTGAGTATAACAAGTTAGCCCTGAGAGTGAAATTTTCACGCTGCTTTTAGGTATTACAAAAGTACAAATACGACAAATAAATAAAATAAAACTGTATTAAGCGATGCGCTTGACTTTTAAGATGAGCGGAAGCATAGCTAAATCACTCGACTACTTTAATTCCAATCACAAAGCGTTATGGAAAAATATGAAAGGTTGTGGAAAATGATACTAATCCACAACATATCACATACCTGAATTTCAGATGGGGGCGTCATCCGTATTCCACGATTGGAAGCCTCCTTGAAGAAAATTTCGGCAAATGCACTGAAAATAGCAAGTGCTTAAACGTAATAGGACAGATGAAAGATTGTAGTATACTCACACAATCAACTTTTGTATATTGACTTTGTTTTGACTAGCCACCAATGCGTAAACAGCCCACACATCGCACTCAGCCGGTATTAAGAGGTGTCCACGAGGAGTTCTGAACACTATCATGGAGTATGATGAAATGATAAATGAAAAATTGTGGAGTGTAGAAAAAGATACCTCCATTTTCCGTCTCTTACGGTAGCTGTTTCATCGCGATATTTCAGTTTAGGAGGCGGAAGAAGTCTCCCCTCAACCTACAGCACTCCCATATAAGACTGCCATGTAACAATATAATATCAAGCTAAAAGCGTACCTTCATAGGATCCCTATAGATGAACAGCCCTGCACTTGTAACATAGGGATTGTCTTCGGAGCCAAAAAGCTTAAGGGCTCGAGCACCTCGCGCTATGTTATCCTGACGTTCGCCAGGTGGGACAGCACAGCTCTAGAACAGTGTTGAAGAAAAATCGAAGAATGGAGTTGAAACTTGAAAATATAGCTAATTACCCTCGTAGTTCTATGACTTTGATCTGGCGTCTGCTGAGGAATAGTGACTCTCTGCATTGGTCTGAGAAATCCCAATTCCATAGGATAGTTGTTAGTGCGACCTCGCTCACGGACTTTGACAAGCGGTAAGTGAGGATACCAGAAAATTCACAAGTGAACAACTCCACTAGCGATGACCATAAAAATAATCACTCGAAAGCAGCTCACTTCAACTTCTTGTTGTATTTCTGCTCGAAATAATCCTGCACAGAGATTTTTCGTCCTTCACGATCCTCGAATCTGCAATCAGAAATCTAATGAGGCATAGGAAGAAAGCATAAACAAACAACATAATCAACAAAACTGCACTTCAAAATACTCGGGAGGAAGTAAATCCCTCGTGGTGGCTTGCCCTGTTTTAAAGCCCATCGCCTTTCGTAACGTATGATACTGTGGTATTCTTAACACGTGTCCATAATATCGCAGCCGTTGTTCTCGCATCTTTAGGGCAGTCTGCATGACCGCTCTGAGACCCTCGTCTTTAC